GGTTTAAAAATAGCGTACTTTCTCTTCAAATCGGCTATATCTTGTTGTATTTGATCTCGAATGGACCTGTATTAAAATCATGTTTAACGTCATTGAGCAAGAAAAGGACGGTTTTGTCGATTTCATTCGTCGCCATATTCCCACTAAAAGAATTATTATACTTTGCAATAGCCTTTCCGTCAATAATTTTCGCCATGGTTATATTCAAAGCCGTAAAACGTTTTGCACAATCGACAAACCTCCAAAAAATCATAACATTTGATAATCATAATTAAAACTAACCATTCAACCATAAAATTTCTCCGAAACCAATCAAAATTTCCATAAGTCGCCGATTTAACTGTTTTGAGAATAATTTGGGTTTTAATCAGGTTAGAATTATTTGTTTGTTAAATATGTCGTGACATGTAGTTAAATTTGTTTTGTAATAACAATTGATCAAATTTAAAAATTTTAATTATTGGAAAAAAAAAAAAAAACTTTTTTTACAAAAATTAAAAATTTTTAAAAATTATTTTTTTTAATAATTTTAAAAACAAATCTATCTTTAATTACAAGAAAATATACAAAGGTAACACACTTCTTGAATATACTTGTTATCAACAATTCTTTTATTTGTTATTTATTTTTTTTTCAAATAAACAAACAAAATTTTATTATAAAAAAAAAATTATAAAAGAATACAATTTACAGTAATTTTTTAAAAAAGTTAATATCAACTCTTCTAGCTTCTAGCTAGTTATATACAAGATTTTGCATTTTTTTAAATATTAGAAGAATTTTTATTGACCAGATTTTATTTAATAAATTAAACAATTTAAATATTAAAAAAAATTTAAATCAAATAATTTAAAAACATAAACAACAATATACTTAATTATATTAATTATTTAAAGTTATACAATCAAATTTTTAAAACTTAAAAAAAATCAAATTTAATTTAATTTAATCAAGTGATTTATTTTATTTATTTATTTATTTATTTTAATTATAAAAAATATTAAATATAAAACTTTTATTAAACAAAAGTTTATAATTATTACATTAATAATTTTTAAATATTTAATAAATTAATTATAGCCTATTG